AAGCCATCTAACAAGTGATGGAAAGGCCTGAAGGGCCCTAACTTGAGCTGAGGAAAACTCTATTAGTCATCATTCCTGGTCAGAGGATGTTAACTAGTACTTATTCAATAAATGTTTTTTGAACAAGAACTATGCTGAGCACTGAAAGAGAAACAGAAGATAATAAAACAGTTTCTGCCTGCAAGAAGAGATTGCATCTTGTAGGGAAGATACAGCATGTCTACAAGTAACAGCAAATCAAGGAAAAACTGTGCCAAATAACGCAGAAGTAAGAGCAAAGTACTTAGAGAATTCATTGGCAAAGTAAAAATCTGTTAAGCTTTGAGAAACAGACCACACTAGAGAAGAAGTGATATTTGAGTCAGGTCTTGAAAGAGGTGTAATATTCCACGGTTTGGAAATCAAAGTTTATTCATGTTCATACACATTATTGAGTGCCTATCACATATGTACAAGATACTGTGCCTGACAAACCCTGGTCTCTGTACACTGAGGACTCTCAGTAATGGAAAGTAGAAAATATTTTATTGAACATCTTCTGTGTATCAAGTACTTTTCTAGCTGCTTTACATATGCTTACTCATTGACCATTAAAACAAGCTACAAGATTAGAGTCTTCTTTACAAGTGAGAAAACTGAAGCTCATTGAGAAGTCACACATAGAAATGGAAAAACAGCTGAGATTCTCACCTAGGTCGTTTTGAGTCTAAAGTGCATGCTCTTTCACTTACTCCATTCCAGTACAAGGTCATATATCATTCTGTGTGTCTATAGGAATCATGTTTGCAGAGTTTTACAAAAGTTAAGAGATAGATTTGTCATTATGCTTTTAGGTTATTTCAAGAAATACAGTTTAAAAATTTAGGACTCTCGTTCTTTCCTGTTCTTTTACAATGCACATACTGTCTCTCAATAGTGTATCTTCAACTTGATATATGTCAAGTGTACTCAATTAACTGCATGTTCTGGATCTAGAGCTTGATGGTACATGTACTTTCTTCTGATGATTTACCTTTTTTACCCTGGGCTAAAATTTTTTCTCTTTCCCAATATAGATAAAGCCTGTTCTCTCATAGAAGACCCCATAAATACCCTTTAGCATACCTCAATATATATGTTCCAGCTGTAAACATGTGAGAGGGTGGGGCACAGAGGGAAGGAGAACAAGTCGTATTTTGCCACTAGTCGTTATTGTACTTACCAGTTGATGTGCTCCAAAAAAACCAAGTTCAGGTAGTGCTCCAGAGTCACAAATAAAGACTCTTATAAATCCCACCATTAAGAAACTATTTATCTTCTGTGTATCTTGATTTAATTAAGTCTTATCCAAACTTATTTGACCCTTTTCTTCGTGAAGCACCAATTAACATATTTCAGCACACTCATGTACAGCAAACAGTTCTTTGGGAAAGCTGGTATTGTGCAACCTCTGAAGAAACTGAGACTCAGGAAGATTATACAGTTTGCCTGTGGTCACCAAACTGGTTGGACACATAATCTGGACTAGAAGCCTGGTCAGCTGACTTTTCACAGTAATACTGCCTCTCCTTCTAACCAGAAATCCTAACCCATATAATTGTATTGAAAAGAATGGTTTTATTATCTTAATTATCTCTAGTATTTCAAAATCCTTTGGAAAGATGGAAGTATTGTGTAGTCAGATCACCTTGGTTACAGGGAAATTCCTTAGTGGTTGGTCTCACTTTGTTGTAGTGAAATCAGTAAATTAAAGTCCTAGAAGAAAACAGAAAATCTTCATGATCTTGAGTTAAGCCAAGATTTCTTAGATCTGACACCAAAAGTATAATCCGTAAAATAACAAGTGTCTAAATTAGACTAAATCAAAATTAAGAACTTCTACTGTTCAAAAGACACTGTTAAGAAATTGAAAAGACTGGGGCGCCTGGGTGGCTCAGACAGTTAAGTATCTGCCTTCAGCTCAGGTCATGATCCCAGGGTCCTGGGATAGAGCCCCACATTGGGCTCCCTGCTGAGCGGGGAGCCTGCTTCTCCCTTTCCCTCTGCCTGCTGCTTACCCTGCTTGTACACTCACTCTCTCTGTCAAAAATAAAATCTTTAAAAAAAAAAGAAATTGAAAAGACAAGCCACAGACTGAGAAAATCATGTATCTATTGTCCAGAATACATAATGAACTGTTAACATTCAATAGTAAAACAAATAACCCAAATTTTTTAATGGGCAAAATATTTAAACAGACACTTCATCAAAGAAGATATACACAAGGGCAAATAAGCATGTGAAAAGATGCTCAACATTATTAGTCATTAGGGAAATGCAAATTAAAACCTTAATAGGTACACACCAATTAGATGGCTTTTTGAAAGAAAAAACTACTGGCAAAGATGAAGAACAACTGGAACTCTTATATATTAATGATGACAGTCATTAATGATAGCACATCCATTTTGGAAAATAATTTGGCACTTTGTTTTGAAGTTAAATATATACATACCATATGACCAAGCAGTCAGACTCATGGGTATTTACACAGGTGAAATGAAAGTTAACAGTAAAATTGAGGTTCACACAAAAATCTGTGCATAAGTGTTTATAGTCGCTTTATTTGTAGTCACCAAAAACTGGAAACAACTCATGTGTCCCCCAACTGGAGAAGGAGTAATCAAACTGGTTTATCTATCTATACAATGGAATACCACTTAGCAATAAGTAAGAATGAACTACTGATACAGTCAATAATATGAATAAATTTCAAATGCATTACACTAAATGAAGGAAGCCATTTATATGACATTTATATAACATTCTAGAAAAGGTAGAACTGGGGACAGAAAACAGATTGGAGTTGCCAGGGGCTGGGAATGAGGGAATTGTGGCGGCGGGGGGTGGGGGTGATAGAACTGTTCTTTACCTTGATTGATGATGATATGCATTTATCAAAACTCACAGAACTATACATTTAGAGGGATGGGTTTTACTTTATTTATATTATACATCAATTTTAAAATGGGAAAAAAATCATTCTCTGGGCTACTCAAAGCCATGTATGATTTACTCCTCTCCTTTGATTCCTCTCTAACCAACTCCATCCCCCTCTTCTTCTGATCTTTCTGCTCCAGCCACATTAGCTGCCTTGCTATTCCTCAGTCAAGCCAGACACCAGGGCTTGGCAGTTACTGTGACTTCTGCCTGTAATACTTCTCTCTGATCTAAATGTCCATGTGACTCCCTCTCTCTTTTAGGTGTTTGCTCGCTGGCCTACAGTTTTTTGCTTATTGAGGTTTACAGAGTTGTTGGTTTGTTTTTTGTGTGTGTGGTTTTTTTTTTAAGATTTATTTATTTTAGAGAGAGAGAGGGAGAGCGTGTGCTCCTGGAGGAAGGAGCAGAGGGAGAGGATCTCAAGCAAAGTCCCTACTGAGTGGGGCTTGATGCAGGGCTCATCAGTCGAGGAGCTCAATCTCACCACCTGTGACATCATGACCTGAGCCAAAACCAAGTGTTGGAGGCTTAACCAACTGAGCCACCCAGGCACCCCAAGGCTTACAGAGTTTAAAGTTGTACCCTTCCCTCCTTTCTACTAGCCTCCCTGCACTCTTTCCATAGCACTCATCACTTTGTGACAAACTGTACATTTTCCTATGTGTGTATTTGTTGTCTTTCTTTTTATAGCCTCCATGTAAGCAGCATTTTTTTTATCTATTTTGTTCACTGATATTTTCCTATCATATAGAACAATGCCCGGCAACATAGGAGGTGCTCAGTAAGAATTATGGAATTAATAGCTATTAGCTTTAGCCTATTTCAAACTCTGCTTCAACCAGCTATAAACTGTCACTTGGTGGGTACTCATAGAAGCCTAGAAGATAATATGTGCATGCATGTATTTATGTATTTGTATATGTATGTGTGTAAATTAAGTCAGTCCTTGATTTTTATTGTAAGAGAGTGGTGTGAGGATATATTATTTTTCCTGTTTAAAAAAATGTAATTGTGTAGAAACTGTCTTTTCTGGGTGTCTATCTTTACTACCAAATTTCACTTCCAAGAAGTCCCCATTTCTCATCCCTCAGATGTGAATGTTTTGAGTATTCATATTTGTTAGTAAAACAAAAAGTCCAACGTCAATTTTTATTTCCAACTTATACTAGGTTTCCTTGCTTTGTTACAAACCTAAAATAATGCAAATAAAAAATTATATTTGTTGAGCAAACCGAATTGAAGTTTAACAATGGTGTTTATACTATGACTGCTATTCAAGTGTAGGTGTCCTTTATGTCATTTTTTTATAACAGTGTTTACTTATATGAGGCCTTTGTTTTTAGCCAGTATATTTGAAACTGAGCTACTGATGTATGTTTGTTCTTGCCAACTTACCTAATATCTCTTCATTGTTTTCCACATTGGGACCACTGATGTGGGATATCTGAGGTCTGTTTTCATTCTGGGGAAAAGCTCTAG